TTTTTTTTGCCTAGGGCGACGTGTTTCGGACCCCGCGCATCAATTCCGTTTTTCCGAAAAGCGCGGGAGCGGCCCATTTTCGCGTTTAACGCGAATTCAACGGGATTTTTTGGATTTTAACGGGATTCAACGGGAGTTTAATTCCCCCGTTCTGCGTTAAAAAGATAAACAGCCCCCCAATCCACTGCAAGCCATATCGGTACTCCCTCGTCAAACGTAAGAGAACGTTGGAACGAATCAGGGAATTCGAAGCTAACGGTTGGATTGAGCCCGCTACTGGACCCTGGTCATTCCCCGTAGTTCTAGTCCCAAAGAAGAACGGGTCGATTCGCATATGCATCGATTATAGGAAGTTGAATGATATCACGATCAAGGATGTGTACCCCCTCCCCAGGATTGATGATCTGTTGGATGTGATTGGGTGTGCTAGATATTTTAGTAAGTTTGATATCCGCCATGGGTTCCATCGTATCCTGGTTAAGGAGGAGGATCCGTCGAAAACGACGTTCGTATTGTTCGTTTCCCTATGGGAAAATGCAATGCGCCAGCTACCTTTCAGAGAGCGATGAACATTACCTTTCAAAACTTCGTCAAGAAGACCCGACTGACCCACAGAATGATCAACTTCTGTGTCATTGTGTGTATGGACGATATTTTGGTGTATTATGAATCGTTTCACGGACATGCTCAGCACATTGAGTGAACGATCGGGGCATTGCGGGATGCTGGACTCAAGATTGCGCTAGATAAACTAAGTTTTTCCTCTCGAAAATCTCGTTTTTGGGGTACGTGGTGACACGAGGAGGTTTGAGGCCAGATTCGAGAAAAGTTGAGGCAGTTCGAAAAGCCCCTATGCCCACATCGCTGACACAGGTTCGAGCCTTCCTAAGGCTGGCCTCGTACTACCGGAAATTTATCAAGGGGTCCGCGGCGATCGTTCGGCCCCTGACAAACCTCCTACGGAAAGATCAGCCACTCAAATGGGACGCGGAGTGCGAACAAGCCTTTGTCACTTTGAAGGATTCCGAGGCCCTCGCCTGAGTTGCCTCCGCACCTATTTTGATTCGGCCCGATTCTGGGAAACAGTTCATTCTCATTACGGACTGGCAACCTGAGGCGATTCCCGTTATTTTGGCCCAGAAGGGGAAGGACGACCGCGAACACGTCATTCCCCCCCGCACTCACACACACACGGGTCCAACCCGCTGTTTTTTTTCTTTGCTTTTTCTTTTTTTTTATTGGTTGATTGGTTGATTGATTGATTGATTGATTGATTGGTGGGGAAGGAGTCGCCCTTCCCCGGTGCACACACACACACACACACACACACACACAC